GACGGGTGATTGCTGTGGCAAAGATCGATAGAAATAGCTGAGAGACAGGCGAAACAAAGGACCCGCATGGTTTGGTGGTGAACGCGTTACTCCCCGGAAAGGACAATAGCGCGTTCGTTCCCCACCATAGACACCTGCGTTCCAGAGTTTTGCAAATATCTCAGCAACGTTGTAATATATGCGATAGTTCTACAATACAGTTCTGTGCTACGACTTTTCGTGGAACGTCGGGAAATTGTAAGCATAAATATTCCTATAGATTCTTTTGCAGGAGCACCTTGTAATGTTTCAATTGCTCATCGACAATCCTCGATAGTCGCGAAGATATTCGTTTACCCCTCAGAGTGTTGTAACTGCTGGCGCGACTGTCTCTAAGTTGTTTACATATCTCAGACTACAGTTCGTCCAATGTGAGCTTATTGATGACAGTTTAGCCAGCAGGAGTAGAATGTCGGTTTTAATTGTTTTCACATGCATTGTACGGATCCCACCAATTCTGACATTCGATTCGTTTCTTCACATCCATCATCCACGAAGACCTTCCAACTTCTACGTGTCGATTCGGCTGCTGTTTGAGGATTTTCATTTCATCTTAAATTTCGTAAAATGCCGGTCGAGCGGATTTTCCCTGGAATCCTGGAATAGGCAGCCTAGAGCGTTCCCAATTGGATTGCAGAGAGTGATTTTTCTCCGGATAGGTCTAGTACAGTTTTCTGGACCTCGGAAGGATGAGATGCTTGATGAACCTAGGACGGCATCGAACTAGCACTGTGCTCGTGATCGTCGGAATCACTGCCACTGTGGTCTCCGCACCCTTTGAGGTTAATGTTTAGTAGTGTTAAACGAACAATCAGAACGTATGCTGTCCGATCGAACTCACATGAAACTCACAAGACGCGTAAGGACAACAGCATCTACACCAACTGTTGATAATTGTGTGATTCGAGTTAGCGTTTGCCAGTAGAGCTTCCATTCTGCTTCGTTGAACGCCGTTTTATTTGCTCGAAAGACAAGAGGAAAATCATATGATTCCTTCAGGGTTTCTGTGAGAAGGTATAATCGCCGGATTAATGGTCTTTCACTATTCGTTTGAAATCTCGTGAAATCAGTGGCTGACACATCTTATCCAGTGGCTGTCATTCATATGGTCCTATTTCCGAACTCCCTACTTCATATCAGTGAGACGGGATATTCTCAACACTACTTCTACAACGCGACATTCGAATTCGAAAATGTTGACCAAACTCGAGAGTTCCTCCAGGCAGATATTTCTGGGTGACTTTCAAAATTTCGTCCTTCCGAACAGTATCGCGAAGGTATTGAATAGTCAGTGATCTTACTCCGTCATACTTTCGACAACAGTGTCTTCTCAAAAAAATTCAAAGTAGTAGCGAAATTCTAACTGATGACGGTTTTGGGACTTCGTTCAAACAACTCACCAGTTTTCTGCCACCTGCGAAGAAGGAAGAATTCCTCGCGTAGAAGGCGATGTGGAACTCTCGTGAACGATTAACTATGATTTGGTTAATTTAGCGGTGCTTTTCTCCATGACGAGCTACGTCTAAGTTGACATAATGAACCCAGACGGTCTCTTATCCTATTCAACATACTTCGATCCATGGGCCTTCTTGTAAATTTATTCGGACCTGATTTTTAGTTCAATCCAGGGTCCAAGCTCGATGATGATGGCTTTGTGAAAAAAGCCCTCGTCGTTGATCAGTCCCTTTAGGAATGCGCCATGCATTCGATTTCATTAAGCATCGTTTGGAGGTGATCGAATGCATATCTGACCTTTGCAATGACTCGCGGTGGTCTAGAGCCAGTGCTGCTATCCTCCTAGACAAGTCTGGTACCAATCTGCCAAGGAGGGATGGAAGGCTTGGTGGGCCATGGGCGCGGAGATCGATTCCACGCGTGTGTTGCAGTACGCCGCCTCCAACCACTGCGCCACAGGCTTTGTAAAGGGAGTGATTTTCTCTATGAAACTTTCCCAGGTGAACATAAAATGCCTCAATCATCTATTTGTTGTAGCCCGATGTTTGGCTATAGGTAGACGGCGAGGTAGGTACTTAACGAGGGGCGACCCAGATTTCTGCAATAGCATGTGTTCGACCCAGGTACATAGTAATTCAAAGGAAATTAGTGGTCAATTCACTGTTGACTTCTGTCCTCGATCTTTGCTTAAATCACCGTATGTTCAATGGAAGCCTCCTGTGGTAGAATGAGAGTAAATAGATACTGTAGGTACAAATTCGTCTGGTTTCGCGCACACTTTATACGAAGGAAGCATACGAAGCATCGATCCAATCACACGTTGGAATAGAACTTCATCCATTATTGGAAAGAAAAAGACAACGTTCATGTATCCTTTTCGACGAAATCGTTTCTCCAAATAGGAAGCGTATCACTTAAGATCAGAATACTATATATTAGCAGCTTATAAGAGGACTCCAAAGTCGTGCTAAATACACCTCTTTCTCTACTGAGCAACTTACGACAACAGCGACCATTCTTCGTGATTAA